GTAAAATATTTGTTCTGTTGGACCCTTTAGAGTCGTAAGCACTGCTTCGAGGTGAAAGTTAAACGATAGTACCTCTGAATTATTCTTTGAAATTTCTTTGTCTTCGTCTCTAGCCTCACGAGCTAATTACTTCCTTAGCATGTGTTCGTGATGAGCCTGTTCTTGTGTTATTTTTTCCTCATCTGTCAAATTCGCATATTTTAAGCACTTTTTACTGTGGTCTTTTTTGGGTTTGTTTATGGAACCCCAAGTTATAAGTTCTTAACACTCGTCGATATTTTTCGAAAGAAACTGGATGGACATTTAATTCTGAGCACTTTAATTTGTACAACTTGTGCATAATAGAGACGTTTAGTGCAGAATCCAAATACCTTTTGGTACTAGAGGTCCTGCAGTAATGCGACTCCACGCTGGAAATGATAGAATGTGCTCACGAATCAGCAGTTCATCATCATCTTTCAATTTATTATGTGGGACATGTTTTCCGCGATTTTCTTTTTCAACTATGCCGCTAGAAGAAAGCTTTGCCACAGCTCCGCGCATAAATGCATCTGTTACATTCAGTGTAGCCATAAAAAAGGCCCGGCATACTTGCCTTTTTTCCCCATTGACAGTTAACGAGTAATTCATGGTATACGTTCTTCTTGAATTTTCAATGTTTCTAGTGATTCTCTTTTTCTTTTGTTTATCAATATGACTATTTAAGAAAACTCGTTGATCATCCACCGAAATCATTTGGCGGAATTCATTATAAATTTTGCGTCGGTGTTCCTCGTTGATTAAAGTATCTCATCTGTGGTTTGCTTTACGAGAACACGGGGATGGCAACATGGGATGTGCTGATCTCTCTTTACTTCTAGAACAAACATAAGACTCTCCTTTTAATCTTTTTTATTTTCTTATGTTTTTCCTTAGGGCCCCCACCTTAAAAGAAAGAAAAATAGGTTTAGAATAATTGTACGTTAGCGTCACACCTTTCTAAATAACTTACTCAATTTATTGTTCGTTATTTCATTTTGATCCTCTGATTCTGATGTTGAATCGCTAGAGCTCAAACAAGAAGAGCAGGAAGAACTGCTAGGAGTTGAGTCCTCTTCGGGATTATAGTTATCTGATGACGAGTCAGAAAGGCTTCTCTTGTTTGAAGCCAGTTCGCAATCGAAGGTCGGTCTGACATAAGGGCATGTTAACATCTACCTACTTTTTCTTTTCTTTTGCTGAATCCAGACGTGACTGTCTCAAGTTTTCAAATATTTTAGCCGTGTGCGCGTTCATTTTTACACACAAAACTAAGAAATGTCTAGTAGAAACAATGCAACGAATGTAAACTAAATCCAAAATCCACACCGCCACAAACACGTATGTGTCACTTTCGCGATATGCACGTCGTAGTTTAACTTAATCACTACTCTGCCACAAACACGAAGTGGTACATACGCGATGCACGCATTGCAAATGATCAATACAGACTGACTTTCGTGAAAGTGCGCATTTTATTCTCACCATCTCCTAGTCTTCAATTACATTCGTGGTTGCGGCGGAGTGTAGGAATGAATGGGACATTATTAATGGTGTACTTAGTTAAAAAATGGAAATTTTGCACATTCGTGGGTGTGGCATTGCACCGACGATGTAAGCTTTATCAATTTTATTATAATCTATAAAGATAATAAATAAACCATTAAATTTCTTTATTCAATTTTAAAAATATTATTTATCTTAATAAATACAAAAAACGTAGTATGAAGCTTCGCGCTAGTCTACAGTCTTTCAACAGACACAAACCTTTTCCTCATTCCTCCGCTCCTGCTCCCGCTAGACCTGAGAGTTTTTTGAAACCTTGCAGAGCTTTGCCGGGATTTTACTGGCAACCTGTCACAGTTTACTTTTAATTTTCGAAAGAATGGTCTTTAAAAAGATCCGGTTCAACAGTTTCAGGATCACTGGGGCCGGTTTGTGGGTACTTGGTTCATTCTGACCCCAGGAGAAGTTAAGAAATCGATGATTCCCACGGAGTCTTGTATACCGGAAGATGGCTTTTAAAAGTCAACTAATACTCGAAAATTAGTATCTCTCTCGGATATCATCCTCTCAAACAATTATATACCATGACCGAGCATGAAAAAGATGGGGAACCAGTTAAAAAAAACGATAGTCAACATTTATATGAACTACGTATATATTGATTCAAAACGCATATTTGACATCCGTATCAATTCTTTTATGTTAATTTTACGTTTACCAATAGTTAAAACAAAAGTCTAATGGAAAAAACTTAAATACTTTGTAATAATGCATTAAATCCTATGTAAATATTATTCACGTAATTGTGTTCACTCACCTTTATTCTCACGCACCAGACTATAGGTGATTCCGTAATACTTTCAGTTTGTATACACTATTTTTAAAATCTTCTATATTTAGCATGAACTATATAAAATTAGATCCGTTTATCTGAGTATCGTGAAAAGTGTAAATCACGTATGAGTTAATTAATTATTATTATATAAAATTAAGAATGTTTTTCAACCTTTAATACCTTGTTTAATATAAGTGCTACTTGTCTCGTACGTGAATCATGTATCTTACATCACGCTGCATATTATGTGTATATGTAATATAATTGTACATAGTGCTAAGTCTAACTTTTCAATTTTTATTAGTTTATTACGGCGAAGTAAAAAACTTTACACTTCATCTAATTTACTTACCGATGCACGTCATCCGCGTCATAGCTCGTGAGGTCACATGATACCAACACGAAATATTTAGGCGGTAGGTGTGTGTTCTTTTTTAGAATCACTTTGCAGAGTACACTGGCATTACAGCCACTAGACATATTTTATTATATACGCGTAGAAATAATATTTAAAGATTTCTATTAATGTTCACTTAAAGAAATACACAATAACATGTTTCATTTAATTTGTATAAATGCATTATAAAGCGTTTTTATGAAGAACATTTGTTCGGAACACACTGTAACTGTAATCGAACGAAGGTGATATTTTGGCATAAATTGGTAACACTTATTTGACAGTTGCGGTGTTGACACTTTTTATACTTTATTATTTTGAATTTTAAAGCAAATACTTCTTGGATTATATTTTTACCTATTAAATAAAATCTGTTCTTTTTAGAACAAAATTAGTATGTATTATTAATTACTATTATTATCATAGATTTAGCCATATGGCTCACACTCCCTCAAAGGAAAAAATTCACTCATCTCAGATACCCCAAGGTATCAAAAGGATTGAGCTCTAGTGGGACTGTTTCCATGTTATCGAGTACTAGATGACTTGGTACGTCGGTGTATCTCCCAAAAATTTTCCCACGCATCTGGACGTCGAAAGTAGCACAGCTTCCTGCATGATCTTATATTATATATATATATATATATATATATATATATATATATAATATAATATATATATATATATATATATATGTGTTCATTTAGACCCAGCTTTTTTATGTTTTCTAGGAGGTTCTTCGGAATAACTCCAGTGGTAGAAAGAATAATAGGTATCGTCTGGATACTTTGCATTCTCCATTGTCTCCTTATTTGTATTTTCAGATCTTTGTACTTGGCGATCTTTTCGTTGTACTTAACACGCAGATTATTGTTGTAAGGTATCGCCACATCGATTAGAGTTGTTTGTCTTGTTAGTTTATTAACTAGCACGAGTTCTGGTCTATTATGTGCTACAGTTTGGTCTGTAAGCACAGTGCGATCCCAGTATAGCTTGTAGTTGTCATTCTCAAGCATACTCTCAGGAACGTATTAATAATATGGGAGATGGTTTGTTTGTAGAAGTCCCAGTTTAAAAGCTATCTCTTAATAGAGGATTTTCCCTACTGAGTTATGCCGTTCCTTATATTCAGCTGTAGCAAATGCCTGGCAGCCCCCGGTAAGATATTGGATAGTTTCTTGGGCTTGACATCCATATCGGCATTTGTCGTTTTGGACCTGAGGGTCTTTGACGATATACTTCAGGTAATTTTTGGTTGGTATAACCTGATCCTGAATGGCAAGTAATGAACCTTCTGCCTCAGGGAACATCTTTCCTGATGTCAGCCAATAGTTCGACGCTATATTGTCATATAGTCTTGACTGACTTCATTCGGATGTTGCCCGTGCAGAGGTTTACCCATCCAGATGCGCATTTTTCTGTTCTTAGTAAGATGGTCTATGCGCATTCCTTGTTCCCCAGTTTGATTGGTATTGTGACATCTACTGCACAAATGGTGCGATGAAGAGTAGATGTCTCCGCCAAGTTCTTAAGTTAGTAATCTGTTTTTTTAATTGTTCACTTATATCCATAAGTCCTCTTCCTCCTAAATACCCCGGTAATGTCGATCTTTCTACCAAAGAATATAGATGCTTTGTAAACAGATGACACATGTAAGTTTTTTTGTATTTTTGTTTTTGCGACTATTTGAGGTAATATTTTTTGCATTGTCATATTTTTATAACTGTTTGTGGTGACAAAAATAAATGTTAAATTTTTCTTAACATTTTGTTTATTTTTTTAACTAACCCTTTTTGAGTTTAATTAGAAAAAGATAAGTTTTGCTTTTTTAATAATTATTTCGATAGTTATAACTAGCTGCTGTAATAGTTATAATTAGGCACCTTGAAGTTGCGTCCTTTTTAAATTACTAGAGGTGTGTCCTGTTTCCTTTTGTTTTATTTGTCCCAAGAGATTCATGACCTTTTGTTTCATTTTTTCTATAGTTGCCCCAATCCAACCCCTTTGCCATTTAGTTATCCACGACCCCAGCTCTTCTAACAAACGCTAAGTGCCGTTCGTATATGTTTCGATTATTTTGCTTGCCCTATCTCTACCCCCAGTAATTTTCTACCCCTTATATTAATACCCCATGTAGTAAGCAAAATATCATTATTTATAATAGTTGTATTCAATATCAATTATTTACAATATTTATAGTTACAATATATTAAAGTGACAGTAATTTTATATTTCTGTACTTACAGTTTAAATCCCTGAAGAAGGCAGAGGATAACAAGTAGCGGGGAACAGAAACTTTACTTTAGATTTACATGAAATATTTATCTGTAAAGAAAATAAACAAATTAAAAACTTATTTAAACAGACGTGGTTTTCGAAAAATAAAAATCAGTATTTCTCGATATTTACAACAACAACAAATTATTAAGATGCGTAGATATTTGATATGGGATTAATCCACAAGTGACTGTAATGAGAATTATATTTTATATTTGCTTTGACTTTTTAGAAAATAAGATACACATAATTATTTGTATCAAAAACATATAATACTCCACTACTATTGCATAAAATAATCTTTCTTATCAATACACCCATCTGATCACAAATTGGCTAAAATAAAAAAAAATATATGCCGACTTTCGATCGTTTCTCCTGGTAAATCATGGACATCCGTAAATTAGGCGAAAATGCGTTAATTCGCGCGATTCGCAATATACAGTGTGGAAACCACTTATGGAATAAAATTGTTTGTGTCCTTATTATAAAAAATAATCAAAAACTCTGGGACACTTTAACTTTTAAATTGAAACGTGCGGTTTTTAAACATAAGTTTAAATGTATAGGGTGATCCACGCAAGTCTGGCATAGTCCATAATCCTTATTTTTAATGAAACACCCTGTATATTTTTATGTTTTTAAAATAATTTTAACAACGTGATTTCAATTAACTATATCATGTAAGGTCTATAATGAATAATACAAGGTGAAATTTTGAAATTAATAATTTATCACCTGTTACGGTATTATTTTAAATTAGTTAAATACAGACAATAAACTTCTACTCTAAGTGTCAGTACACTGTATATTGGGGAAAATTTCTGTTTAGTAACCGTGTTAACATTTTTTGTTGTGAATAGGTAAAATCTGTATAGATAGTCTGCTTAAATTAAACTAAATCGGTAAATAATGCGGATTGTTATCAATCAGTTTACACGCTGTTGACATTTCACATTAAAATAATAAATTCTTAATTAAAAACTAATTTCTTGCTGAAATAAAAATGAAATATTTAACTAAGGCGCACCGAATTGAGATTTTAATGATGATCGGTTACGGGGAGAATTGTAGAAGTCAAGTTGAAGTAGCAAACTTATTTAATCAGAGGTATCCTCAGTTACCTAATATTTCACAAGGTACTGTGTCTAAAATTTATGCACAATTCAGAGAACTTGGATATGTCAAACCATTAAAAAGAAAATCGAACTTCATTGAAGATGAAGTGAAAGTGGATATTTTGTTAAGTGTCGCAGAGAATCCAACGTCAAGTTCACGTCAAATTGCACATCAAAATAATGTGAGTCACACAACTGTCCTAAGGTGTCTCCATGAAGAAAACTTCATCCATATAAATTGACATTTGGGCAGGAGCTAATAGAAGACGATCCGGATCGTAGAATGGATTTCTGCAAAAGAATGAGGGATTAAATTAACGAATGAAATAGCTCTTGGCACAATTCTTTTTTCTGATGAATCAAAATTTACTTTGAACGGAGAGGTAAACTGACAAAACTCTAGATATTGGTCAGCGGAGAATTATCATTGGATGCGTGAGACACACATTCAGTATTCCCAAAAGTTGAATGTTTGGGCAGGTATTATAGGGGATCATATTATTGGTCCTATATTTATAGATGATAATTTGACAGCGGGAAAATATTTAAACATGCTAAGAGACGATGTTCTTCCTTAGTTGGCTAACTTATATCCCGATCCAATAGATCCGACCCTACCGCATGAAACTGTCTGATTCCAGCAGGACGGTGCAACACTCCATTATGCTTTAATGGTGAGAAACTACTTGAATGAAATCTTCTTCAATAAGTGGATTTGATGAAGGGGACTAGTGAGCGGCCAGATATTGAGACTGTGTTATTGCCAACAACAAGGTGGAGAACATGTTGAGCATTTATTTTAATGTAATCGAATCAATTACCTCGGGTATTCTATAATTTCATTGTCTTGAAGAAAATACCTAATTTCAAAATTTCACCTTGTATTATTCATAATAGACCCTACATGATATAGTTCGTTGAAACCAGGTTGTTAAGGAGCTTTTAAAACCATGAAAATATACAGGGTGTTTCATTTGAAATATAGATTATGCACCATGCCAGACTTGCATTGATCACCCTGTACATTCAAATTTATGCCTAAAAAGCGTACATTTAAATTTAAAAGTTAAGGTATCTTAAAGTTTTTTATTATTTTCTAAAATAAGGACACAAACAATTTTATTCCATAAGTGGTTTCCACACTGTATGACGTTTAATGCATCTCTCTATGTCCTAAGTTGTATTTGATATACTATAAAAGCTTCATTTTCAATTAAACTAGAATATTTATTTAAATAGAAAATTATAAGAAAATGAATTGTGTAAAAATTTACCTATGTTAACATGGTAATGGTGACATATTCCTAATACCTTATAGCCCAGTCTAAAAAAGGTCGAAACATTTTTCGCAGATATCTGAAGCTTTTAAGACATAGGTGAGGGTTACTAGATGACGAATAGATGAAAAAGTACTCGTATTTTAACCTTCCGTTTTTTTAACAATAATTTATGGTCACAATTTTTTCTCTATAAGATTTTTCCCTTATATTTTACATAAACAATATTTATATTTTTTTATATCAAGAAAAATTTATTTTTCCGTTTTTTGAATAAAAATTTATTAGTACTTTACGAAGATATTTGCAAAAAGCAGTTTTTTGCACTAATTTATAAATTTTATATACACACATATAAACATATACACATATATATGTGTGTATATATATATATATATATATATATATATATATATATATATATATATATATATATATATATAAGTATCATTAAAGTACGAAGTACTTTAATGATAAAAGTGAGTAAAAGCCTCGACTTAATAACAGCACTAATCAATAAGATATATAACATAGGTAAAATACCATCTGACTGGCTAAAATCAACATTTATAACATTACCAAAAAAATCCAATGCCTCACACTGCGATAACTATTGGCGACGTGCAAGTACTTGGAGGGGATACGAGAAACGATCGAGTAGCGGAGAAATTTTGCATTTTTTAGTGCACATTTCATAGATTTCATAAATTCATATTGTCAATTGTCATATTTCATATTTGTTTTGTTTATTTACATTTACACCTTCTGTCTCTGAAGAAAATGGGATTTAGGAATAGCTGTGTTATAAATTGTAAAAATATAACCCAAATTATGCATTATTCTTGCGCCCGATTTTAAAGTCAGTTTGAAATAAATAATAAATAAAAGTTCACTTTTAAGTGTAAATTTTAGTTTCATAATACTCACTTAAAGTTCATTTTAACCCAAAAATCAAGTTTAATGTTTAAATTTTATTTTTTTGAAGTTTACAAAAATGCATCAAGTTCAAGTTTTTATGAAGATGCATTAAGATATATATTCGCTGTCCAAAAGTTTACAGGGAAAGAATTAATTGTTCAAATCATTATGATAATATCATGGGCTTAACCTGCTAATTTATACATTAGCATTATTTATGGTAATTTATTTTTCTTAATTCTTCCATTATTTTTTGACATTTGCCACTACTAAAGCTTTTTCCTTTGACTCAGTGCTTGGTTAAAAAGTTATTTGGTGATTTACTTTCTCAAAGCCAGTTTTTATTATTAAATCCATATTAACAGTAATGCTGTAATTCAATAATATATTTATTTGTATTTACGCTACATCAACGTTTACCTTTTAATAACATACCGACATAACCTCAATCTTACTTTTTCTTCTTATTCTTTTTTGGGACAACGTCCTTGACAGTTATCCGGTTACCTCGATCTAATATAAAAGCGCAGTAAATTTTGCTGATTTACAACACCAGCTGTCGCTGTTCCGAACTTGCACGGTCCCAATAAGAATATTAAGCATGATGCATCATATCCTTAAAACTTTTCTCAGAATCATTCATACACGAATTTACAAGAAGTGTGAATTTTAGATGAGTGACACTGACATCGGATTTCGAAATGGACTGGGAACACGAGAAGCTCTTTTTGCCTTAAATTTGTTAACAGAATGATGCTGAGAAATGAATGTAGATGTATATAAATGTTTTATAGATTATCGGAAATCATTTACTGCGTTAACTATCAAAAGATGATCGAAATTCTGAGAACAACTGTCATTGACGAACAAGATTTGTGAGTTATCTCAGAACTATATTGGCACCAAACGGCAACAATTGAAATAGAGCACACAACAGAAATAAATAAATAAATAAATAAACAAACAAACAAACAAACAAACAAACAAACAAACAAACAAACAAACAAATAAATAAATAAATAAATAAATAAATAAATAAAAATATAAATAAATAAATAAATAAATAAATAACTAAATAAGTAAATAAATAAATAAATAAATAAATAATAGCTTTATTACCCAACAGTTTCCCATTTCTAGGGTAAAATTTAAGATATATTTTTAATTAGTATAAAATCAGTAGGTGATACAAAAATATCAAGTACAAAAATAAGTACAGAAAAAAGTATGTGACAAATAAAATAAAGAGTAAGAACAATATAATCAAACAAATCACTACGTAAAAAAGAAATAAAAAAAATCCAAAAAAGAATTAACAATCTAAGGTACTCCATAAACCAGTGCGGTATCAACCAGGTGATTAATTGAGCATGGGAAAATATCAGAATGGTTGCATATTTTGTTATAATTATAGCACATAAGATAAATATAGGTTGCTACAAAATATCATGAAAGGAAAAAAGCAGGTAAACGCATTCCAGGACGAAGAAGAACCTCATGGTTGAAGAACTTGCGAGATTGGTATGGTGTTGGTACAAGCATGGTATTTAGGGTGACGTGAAGAAAATAAAGATAACTATGATGGTAACCAACGTTCTGAAAGGACATGGTACATGAAGAAGAAGACAATGTCACACAAGAAGACACAAGAACACATGGCACGTGGACAAGTAAACACGAGAGTCGACCTGGAAGTAATTCTTGTCACATTAAATCTAATTTGACCAAATATATC